AACTCTATTATTTAATTTTTTGATTTACCGTATTTACTATAGATTTTTTCCCTAGTTAACTTTCAGTACCTCCATATTTGAAGAATGCACTTATATTAGCCTATGTATTAAAGCTTGTATAATAATCTGAACTGAGGTCAAGGTTGGACAACATGCTCTAAAAAACTTACTCAGTAAGTAGGTACCCATAACTTCAAAAATTGATCAATTTTCAACCCTGGGTCCTACGACTTAAATACTTGAGGATTTCTATCATATTTCCAGACCATTTAACTGTTATATAGCCTAACTTTTAATTTCAACTTTTAATTTCTTTCAGGTACAAATTGATTTTATCAAATTTATTTTTTTTCACAGAAGCTGACCATATTTATCAATACAATTTTCGATCATCTAATTTTTTTAATTACTTTTCTGGAAACCTAAATCTTTATATCTTCCTTTCAAATTGATGATACGGCCAGCGAATGGTAATTAACGTATATGGCAACTATATTGTATGTACAGGGTGAGTCACTATATTTTGACACCCACCTGCAGCCGTAATTACAGGTGATAGGTGAAAAGTGTAAATACAAAAGTTGTAGCATTTTATCTGAACCGCCAGAATTTTTAATTAGATTGAACAAATGAGCAAGACAAAGTGGAAACATATGTCAATGTTCACTTTTTTCAAATGGAATACACTTTATTTTGTTTCATATACTTAAAGTTATCGTTTTTCTGATTCAGATTATATAACATGTTAATGTTTCTTTCAATGGTTTTAGAAATATATGGAGTTTAGTTATTCATACATAGATCTATTCACGTAACACAACGTTTTGTGACAGGTAACAGGTAAATCAAGGTAATATTTATTCAAAAAACTACTCTCTTTGAATAACTAAACTCCAGATATTTCCAAAACTATCGAAAGCAACACTAACATATTATTCAGGGTGTTCCGAAATTAATGCACCAAATTTTTTTGCCATATTCTACGTCAAAAATAAGCCCTAGTTTCCTATATAAACATATGTCTGGCAACGCTTTCTTTCCGAGATACAGGGTGTTGAAATTCTAAGAAAAAAACTATTTATCTATCATAATTTTCAAACCACTCTAGATAATTTATTGAAATTTTTTACACTGCTTCCAAGCAGCAAAAGACATTTTTTGATGTGAAATATTTGAAAAAAAAGTCAGTGACGTCACAGAAATAATTTGAAACTTTAGGTGTTTAATGTTTAGCATTTTAATCATAATTTTCACGATTTCGCCATGCCCCAAAATGGTTCTTTATTTTTTATTTGAAAATGGTGTAGAGGTCAAGTTTGTTCCAAATTGAATGGGGATTTCAAAAATGATTTTTGTTTTAGAAAAAAGCAGTGGCGCACCATTTTTTTCTTGAAAAGTATTCCATAGAAATCTGGTACGGTCACTGGTAATTTAAAAAAAAAATTATTTCATATCAAAAAATGTCTTTTGCTGCTTGAAAGCAGTGTACAAAATTTCAATGAAATATCTAGAGTGGTTTGAAAGTTATGATAGAAAAATAGTTTTTTTTCTTAGAAATTCAACACCCTGTAACTCGAAAAGGAAGCGTTTCCGGACATATGTTTATATAGAAAACTAGGGTTTATTTTCGACGCGGAATATGCCATAAAAATTGGGTGCATTAATTCCGGAACACCCTGTATAATCTGAATCAGAAAAACGAGAACTTTTAAGAATTTGAAAGAAAATAAAGGACATTCCATTTGAAAAAAGTGAACATTGACATATTTTTCCACTTTGTGTTGCTCATTTGTTCAATCTAATTAAAAATTCTGGCGGTTCAGATGAAATGCTACAACTTTTGTATTTACACCTTTCACCTATCACCTGTAATTACAGCTGCAGGTGGGTGTCAAAATATGGTGACTCACCCTGTACATATATCCTGTTCATAATCCGATGTCCACAGGTGCAGGTGAATTTATCACCTTTCCCTATCAAATAGCATTGAAAGGTGATTTTACCTGTACCTACATGTGGACATCGGATTTTGAACGGATAATACATTGTAGTATATATGTTTTTTTTCGAATTTGATGAGACTGATTGAAACTTAACCTTTTTTTATTGATTTTATTTAAAGTGTTTCACCAATATTTGATTTTATACTTTGAAATTATTCGATACTTGATCACTGTGAAACATACACTAATTTAACTTGAAAATTAACTTAATTTTTTTATTGGTTTACCTGGGTCAGGGTTTGATTGAGTTGTGTGCTTTATTAATTTCCTTTATGTACGACCTACACTGTAAAAGCTTATTACGTAACTCATTTTAGCCTGTTTGAGTTACGTAATTAGTTGCATTATCGTGCTTAGTGGTGTAATGAGGTCATTACATCACTCAGTGATGTAATGAGAGCTCATTACGTAACTCATTTATTGAAAATTATAAAAATAATCTCTTATGAAAAATTAAAACCATTTCGAATATATGAAAAAAATCTGGGTCGTACATAAAATGTTGTATATCACACGTACAGTAACGCTCATTACACCACTCGTGTGATTACCACGACTCGGTCTACGACCTTGTCTTTGCAATATTCCCCACTCGTTACTGTAACGAAGCTCATACCGTACTAGTAATATAAATAACTATTTCAGAATTCCCAATTACCGTTTGCTGATTATTTTTTTAGGTATGTTAATTTTCACATTTTTTTAGGTGTGTTAATTTTCACATCCCATATTTAAGCAATTTTATTATTAATTTTTTTCAAAATTCAGTGGCGGGGTGACGCCCTTGCCATACTGTACTTATTAAAATAATTTTTCGCTGAGAAAACCGATCATATTATCTTCTTGTTCTTGTTCATTCATTAACAAAAGGGCCTACAAGATGTGACAGTTTTTATTTTATTGGTTCAAAAAGTAGTTGTCAGCTTAACAAGTCTACGCAAGATTCCAGGAGAACATCTATTCTTAGAATATTGGTTTTAAATTAGAAAATAGATGAGCTAAATTATAAACACGTTAGCTATATATGAATCTTTTTAATAGATTATTTCCGCAACACCGTCCAATAAGTCTCTTGCCACTCCCATGAAAATTCCTAATGAAGATCGTCACCAAAAAGATACAGCACAGTTAAATATACCGACACGAACAGGCTACATACTCATCATCGTCATCATAGGCCATCACTCAATACCGAGTACAGTCCGTCGTTTTATGGCTTAATCTGATATTCCAAAGGAATGTGAGCTGGTGGCTCCCTACGTTAGGACGCCAATGGCCACACCTGTTTTTGCCAGATGCTTCACCTCTCGTTCCTCATAGGGAAAGTGTCAGATTGAAAACGACGGACAATATGATTATCTCCCAATTCTGGAGCCCCACAATCTCGATAGTCGGCATACCCAGTCACTGGTAGCATTTAGCTACGAGACACATAGGCTTCAATGGGACCAGTTGACTGATACCCATATTAGGTACCCATTTCACCCCATGTCACTGCATCTCGAGCTGTATGTTATTGTCATTCATTCATCTCCGGCAGCGCGGCTATACTCGGCTTCGGCAGCTCCGCTATACTTGACTTTGGTAGCACCGCCTCGATTCGTTGTTGAGACCGGAAACAAACTTATTCGTTTCATTACTCCCTATGTGTCTAGTAGGTTGGTCTGATCTTATACAATCAATATGATCTCTAACAGCAAATGCGCGGAATACAATACTCGATTTTAGCAATGCCTTTCATTCGCTAGAGAAATGGGCGATTTTCACAGCCATAAGAAATACAAGACAGGACTTGAGAAATAAGTATAATTTTATCAAAAATATGAGTGAGATCATCTTATAGGTACAGTGGGAATCATTGCAATTGGCACACACTCTTTAAAATCCCTCGTATTAAGTCAAAATTCTAACCAATAAATCTATTAAGTGCAGCATTTTGCTATGACTGTGTGTCAGATTTGACACATTACGAGGGATATTTATATAGTGTGTGCCAATTGCAATGTTTCCCACTGTACAATACAGAAAATGTTAGGACTCGTCTGGGTGGAGTTATCGTAGAACATATTGAAAACCTTGTTTACTCAGGCATAACGACAAGGTTGGCAAATTAAACCAAATAATATAAATCTGTAGGAGAATCATCGTGAGCGGCGATTGGAAAGCTGAGAAGAGTTTTGAAGGATCCAAAAATCTCTATATACAAGAGGGGCGTAATCAGCATAAATATCCTCCCTGTAATGCCAATTGAAACTAATAATACAAGCAGATGACAGAATTAGGACCACACAAAGACCCATAAAACAAATGATGCTGGGGATAGGTCTCAGGGATCATACCAGAAATTACGAGATCAGACGAAGAACGAATGTGGATTATGTCATAACCCGAATAGATCAATTAAAGTGAAATTCGGTTGGCGACACATCGCTCATCAAGACAATACTAGGTACACAAAACGTATCGTGGTTTGGCGACCACGACTACATAAAGAAATATCGGGAAACTGCTGGTTGGTTGAGGATAGGCTTTGGTTGGGGTGAAGAAAAACGCAGGAAGAAAGTTGCAACAGCTAGTCCAAATCAGAGGAAAGTGGAAGAAGCTAGAAAAGGCCTATGTCCTGGAGTAGACTGTGAAGGGCCACCCAAGAGACAGAGAAATAAGCATCTAAAGTTAAAGAAAATAAAAAACAAATAACTCTAACTTATTCAATTCTTAAATTGTGATTGAAACAAACGGTCAATTTCTATAGCATATTGTTTCATAAACACATAATTTGACAAATTGCCCAATAAAATGCCCAATGCAACCAAGGAGGGTAATTACAGTATTTATTATAAACGCGGGGAGGCTTCAAATAATATAAAAGCTGGCGCAAATGGTTATGTGGTAGTTTATCTAGTCATTTAGCTAAATAAACACAAACAAAACGGCATTCTCAATATATTGAGAATGAATCAAAAGAAGCAAATAAGATGTTGTGACTTTTCCCTAAAGTTTTTGAGAGTATTGAAGTTTTTTCCCGAAGAAAATGAAGAAGATTCTTGGAATTATCTCATAAAATTTTTCTTCATGTACATAGCAGTTGCTGTTTATTTTTGCTTTGTTTTATGCTACTTCATAGTTGGAGTTAAGAGTAAGGATATCAAATAATAATAGCATAAAAAAATGATAAATTTTATTTTAGATCACTTTGACATCGATATATTGAAATTTAGTGTTGTCTGCATTGTATCATTTATAGGAGTAGCTTGGATAAATATTTGCTGCTTCAAAAATCGTCATCTACTTATCCAATTGGGACAAGCGGTGTCCGATTTCACTACATTCGAAAAACCTCCAGGATTTGCTAAATTCAATCAAGAAATGAATTTTTATTCGAAACTTCATTTGCTATATTTGAGCATAGGATGCTTGCTATATTTTAGTGTATTTGCCCCGTTGCGTATGCACAAATGTGAAAAATTAAATGAGCGAAAGCACTTGAGTGAATTATGCTCTTTGATAGTACCAATGTACATACCTCTAATTAAATATGAGAATCTTGGAAAATACCCTACAGTCTATGTCATTGATATGATTGAATTTATAATCTTATTACATACTTATATGACTTGCGGGTCTATTTTATGGATTAATTTCGAAATGATTGAATATATCAGGTTCAGAATTCGTCACCTCAAAAGCTTGTTAGTGAGCGGATTAGAGGAAACCAATAAACTTTCCCAGAAAGCTCTTATTCACCAAGCTCTGAAATATCATGAAGAAATTCTAAGAATGGGTCGTTTGGCCAATAAATTTTTTGGTACAGAGTTATTTCTACATGTAATTTTAACTGGGGCTATAGTGGGAGTCACTGCTTTCCAGATGATCGATGTAAGATTTAGATAAGTATTGAAAAATAATTTCACATTAAACATTTGAAATACTCTTAGACCCAATCTCTGGATCTAGTAATGCTTTTCGTTGGATGGGTGAACGCTATAATAATGGGATGTGTTTCAGGACAACGTTTAATAAATGAGGTATAAAAAAATCCATTTTGTTTTGGGGTATTCTTTAGATCTGCATTTTTTGCAGAGTTTGACTATTCCAGATATTTTGTATCTGGTAGACTGGCACGAGCTTGACATTGATATACAAAAGGATTTATTATTATTTCTTTTAAGGAGTAAAATACCTATGCATATTAAGGCTGGCAATGTTATAATGACTAACCAACTAATTATCGAGGTATAGATTTCATTTTGGAAAAAATCCAGATGTTGCTACTTAATTACCTAATCAAAAATAATTTCAGATTCTAAAAACATCCTACTCTTACGTTACGTTTCTAAGAAGCATATAAATAATGAACCTAAAGTCTTGGATCACTGACTGCGAGACTGCTTTCAAAAGTTTCGTTTAAATGCAAAATATTACATAGCTATGTTCTAGAAACTCAATAGAAAGAGCGAAGTGTTGTTAATATTTGTCTTGGCTCTCTACAATGCACATGTAATAACAAAAAACCTAAAAAAATCAAAATACATGCAAGAAATACATGCATTTTTAAATAATCCGCCATGCATGTTCTCGGTTCCTGAACTAGACTTGCAAATGAGGCTAAACCCAAACCCGACCGGAAACCCAACTTTTGAAAATATATTCGCGACCTTTTAATACCATTATCCCAACTTAACGTCCTATTTTATTTACTTACCGAATTGTATTCAGAGGGCAATAAAAGTTTAACTCTACGCCAGAGAAACAAAATACTGTCGTCTTGTTGCAATGAAATTGCAGAAGCTCCAGATTTTATTAACATATTCCTGGCTTAGTAGTGAAGTAAGAGTTTTGAAAAAGTTATTTCGGAGACCCTTTAAAGTTTTAGATGTTTATATATTCTCGAGTATAAATTTTGAAAGTTAAATGCGATTCTAATGAATCACACATGAACTTTAAAATTTACACAATAGTATATTGTGTATTTAGGTGGAAAAGTGACACATTCTCGGCCGACGGTGTAAGTTGACGGGCGAGGCGTAGCCGAGGCTGGCAAACACCGAAGGCCGAGAATGTGATTTTCCACCGAAATACACATACTATTTTTTCTGCGATCGGTTAAATACCTGTTAGATGTTTGTCTTTTAGTTCCAATTATTCAGCGGTACGAGAATCACTTTCCCGGCCTAGGCCGGAAAAGTGTTTGCCGTATTGTTATTCATTGATTCCTTAGCAATTATTGAAACATAATTGAAATACCAGAATATTGAGTTTTGCAACCAGTTAACCGGTCAAAAATGCTGACATTTCTTGTCAATCGCAGAAAAAGCTTTTTTTTGAAAAATCGTGTGCTCAGAAAATGTCCGTTAATTATTCAATCACCGATGTTGATTGAACGCCAGGCGACAATTTAGGGAGAAACTTCCACCTAGCGTGAAAAAGTCTGTAGCTGTATGGTGATAAGTAGGTACATGCAAAATTGCTGAAAATTATGCATGAAGATTATAGAAACAGTTTGAATCCATTTTTATTGATATTTGACAAAGAGGAAAAAGAGAAACAAAAATAAAAATATGCATAAGAACTGTTTCTTTGAGGCAACAAATCTGAATGTGAGATTTCAAGCCATTTTATATGCAAATAAGTATACAGGGTGTTTGGTAGGTCGATGCATATATTTTGGGAGGTGATAGAGTTGTCATTTAGAACCTATTCAGTCAAACTTACCTTAGTACCAAGTCTTATGGTTTTCAAAATATGGCCGATTTAATTTTTTCTTAAACAAAGGACCCCGCACAAAAAGATAGGAAAAGTGGTCCCGGTCAAATCGTCTGAAATTTTGATATGATATACTTCTCGTTATCCTGATTAAAAGCTGTCATGGACGCAAAAAAATCTATCGAGGGGTTTCCGAGTTATAGGTCCTCAAAGACGTCATTTTGGATATAAATGATGTCAAAGTTCAAATTGTATATTAAATATTGGATACATTGAATTACATAATTTGATCAAATATACTATTAAAAATAGAGTAAATAAACTTCAAAAGATCAGAAATGCTTAATTAGTGTGAGTAAATATGTTAGAAAATGATACAATAAAGGTACTGTTTGTTTGTTATTAGTCCGGGTGTTTATCTGTTGTTTCTCCACATACCATTGAAAAATCTGTCGCGTTGATTTCGAGTTATAGCTTGTTAGGTTTTTTTTTTTTTTTTAATTTGGTCAAGTATTATTGAAAGAGCTGTGAACGAAAAAAATGTTATTTAGGTAAGTAGGTATCTACCTAATTGAGTAAGAAACTCAGGTCCTCCCATATACACGAATATTTGGTTATTGTCGCGCGTAACCCAAATAACAAATAACTGCTTATATGTGTGCACAAGTGCCCAGCGTTCTGGATCCTGACTTGCAGGAACAATAATGATCTCTTACATTTTTAAAGTCATATTTAATGAAAATCTTGTGCCTACGTTTCTGAAGCGCGAAAACACCCTTAATCTGATCAGATTGGGGTGATTCAGTAACAGGTCTTTTTGCAATTGCATTATTTGTTCCTCCGCGCCACAGAATATATAGCTAAACCGCAGTGCGAAAAAACGAAACACAGATTTAAAATGTTCGTTTCGTGCTTCCATAATCCATCGAGTTTTAGTTATTAGTCTTGATAGGTTAGCTTCTTCTGTCGACAATTGATGTTCGTGCGCCCTTAGTTGAGTTGTCATCCTACATTCAACTCCCAGCCTTTCCAACAAAGGCGTGGCATCTCGGTAACCACGGTCCAGAATAAATATATCATGAGGTAGGAGCCAGTACTAATGGAAGGAGCAACAGTTGAGCTGGCTCAGCAAATACGGCAAAGATCGCTTGCCGAAAATAATTTGCAAGTTAGAATCGAACAAGGAAACCTGCGGGTTAGAAATGCACCGAGAAATGCGCAGTGGAGGCGCTTACACCTTACACGAAAATCATGCCTTAGACTTTCCACATTTGGATCCAGAATATCTGAGGGACTTAACTGTAGGTGTCTATCAAATAAATCTTACGCCGTCGTAGCCAGGACACTATGCGCAGAGGAGCAAATAATGAATTCAAAGTCAAAGTCAAAAATAGCTTTATTGTATAAACCCTAAGTTGTTACAAAGCCTTGGTGAAAGAGAACAAAAAACAGCAGTTAAATACAAGACACAAATAATAATAAATTAACAATGCAGGTTAAAATTAAAACACTAGTCAATAAAACTCAATCAATAAAACCTAGAGTTCAATGATAATACATAAAGAAAACCTACAATATACATGCATATAAATGGACAAATCAATAAACTGAAAATATCCAGACAGGACATACTATACTATATATCAGCAAGAACAGTCTCATAAAATTCAGCCAAAGTATGATATGCCCCAGGTGCTAATAGCCTTTTTAGTGTTCTCCTGAATTTTTTCACGCAATTAATCCTCCTAACCTCTGTGGGCAGATGGTTAAAAAGTTTTTTGCCCTCATATAAAAAGGACCTTTTAACAAGTTGAGAATGAGGTATTGGAAGAATCAATCAGAAAGGATGACGGGTTGGATATGGTCCAATGTGGTTAAGTTCATTCCTTGAATTGCAAATAGACCTGCTATTATTGAATTACCCAAATCTGATCAGGTAGGGTGTTTTCGCGCTTCAGAAATGCAGTTAGGCACCAGATTTTCATTGAATATGATTTTGATAATGTAAGAGGCTAAGAGGTCATTATGGTACCTGCAAGTCATGATGATGAACGCTGAGCATTTGTGCATACATAGCAACAGTTATTATTGGTATATTTGCGTTACCCGCAACACCAACCAAATATCCATTATCCATCAACCTAGTTACTATATCAGATGCTGGAAACGTAGCTCCAAATAACGTACGTGTTATCACTTGAAACTAAAGTCCACCTAGCTTCATTATTTTCATTAATACTTATTTTTATTTCTAATTTTTAGCATACTATACCTATGTATTTTTAATGTGAATCTTGAATTGTTGGTATTGGCATAAAATAAATTAAAAGTATAGGGTGTATATAGATCTTTCGTCATTAAAAACAAAAATGTTAGAATTTATTTTATATATTTATATAGTTGAAAGAATATTCATTTCCCTGGATCATTGTTAATTTGGTTTTTTCATGGGTTATGGGAATAAGGAGTAAAGAAAACCACTTATCTTATGGCGACGTTTCGTATAATATATATACTTTTTCAAGCCTTAGAAATCGGTTAAGCAACTCCAGACCAATGTTAGTGTTGGTGAATTCAGGCATGTAGACATCCTTGGTGTTATTAATTACCCAATTGGTTTTATTATATGGTGATTGGAATTAAAAATCATCAAATCAGCCAATCTAGCAAATCAATTATTATAATAAGTAATAGTCCAGGAGGTGGCGCCAAAAACATGCAAGAGTTTTCGCAAGGCGGATATTTTCAAAATAGGTCGTACTTTAGTGCTAGAATGCTAGTGTACAGTCAGCACTCACAGTTCCAGGACAGCTGGCTCTGGGACGCGGACAAAGTTGTAATTTTAAGAAGCATCTAAACTGTTTTCTCAAAGCTCAAAATTTATAGAAATTTTGCACATTATCTGTTTGAAGGTCACAGATAACGTATGTAAATCGTCAGACGTCTAGTTCGTTGCAAAAAGGGGGTCAGACGTCCTCAAAGTTTTTATTTTATGGCATTTTCTTCAAATATATTTGTCAAATACCTGCAAAAATATATTTTGACAGGACACCGAAGAAAATGCCATAAAATAAAAACTTTGAGGACGTCTGACCCCCTTCTTGCAACGAACTAGACGTCTGACGATTTACATACGTTATCTGTGACCTTCAAACAGATAATGTGCAAAATTTCTATAAATTTTGAGCTTTAAGAAAACAGTTTAGATGCTTCTTAAAATTACAACTTTGCCTGCGTCCCAGAGCCAGCTGTCCCGGAACTGGGAGTGCTGACTGTACACTAGCATTCTAGCACTAAAGTACGACCTATTTTGAAAATATCCGCCTTGCGAAAACTCTTGCATGTTTTTGACGCCAGCTCCCCAACTATAAATATCAATTGATATTGATATTGATTGAATCATTGATATTTACTTATTATAATAATTGATTTGCTAGATTGGCTGATTTGATGATTTTTAATTCCACTCACCATATAATAAAACCAATTGGGTAATTAATAACACCAAGGATGTCTACATGCCTGAATTCACCAAC